CGGCGGCGGCCTTCCGTTTATTATTATTTTTGTTGCAATCTCCGAGCCGTCACGACAACTGACGGAAAAGTGGTCTTTAAGAAAAGGGTGCCGACTTGATGTGCGCGGCGTACCAGGTCTGTGCGTGCGTGTGTGAGTGTGTGGGTGTGTTCACCCTCTCCATGTGCCCCCCCCCCCTTTATCCCTACCAACCCCCGTCGTCGCGCGCCCCTCCTCCTCCTCTCCCACTGGTGCGGTGGCGGGGCGGGGTGGGGTGAGGCGCGGTGGGGCGCGGCGGCGCGGCACCCACCACCACCACCACCACGGCCTCTGGTCGCGCGCGGCGCAGCCTCCCGTCCCGCTGTTATTTCCGAACTGGCCGCTGCGCTCCGCGGTCTCGTGCGCCCGCTCCGCCCGCTCCGCCCGCCTCCTCCGACTCGCGCTCCCGCCCCACACGACTCCACGCGTGACAAGTGCCGCGATCTTAGTGCGCTGCACAAAGTGCCCTGCTGCGCCAGTGCGATAGAGAGAGTGAGTGAGTGCTGTGTGTACGCCCGTGGCCCCCGGTGGATGTGTCACTAGGGAGGAGGGACTTCCCCTTTACAAGATCCAGGACCACGTACCGTAAACACAGCGGCGCCACCATGCTGCCGTCGTTAGCCATCGTCTTGGTGAGTGGTTGTCCCGTTAATTTACTGACAAGAAAATAAAATAACAATATGGCAATGCCCTACTTGGAAAAAAATCTATCATTGGAATTTGGTGGAGAAAATGTTTGTTTTTGGAGACTTTGACGCACGGGTGTACTTCAAAGCGATCGTTGTGGCGGTCACTTTTTAGGTACAAAGCTCGAGAGAAACTGACGCGAGCAAAGTCTCGGTCACAGAAAAACAAAACTGCATTTGTTTTTATTTCCCTCTCTTTCTGTTGCTCGAGTGTGTTGTGTGTATATATGACTTGGTCTCCCTGCGTAACCGTATCGGCGACGCGTTGCTGAAACGCGGCGTGACGGTGCGGGGCGGTGCGCGTCGCGGGCCCCTACCCTGCCCCGCCCCGCCCTGGCCGGCGCCAAAGATTGGCCCTCCTTTGGCCGCGTTGCGCCTCTCGCTCCCATGGTCCCGCGCCGGCCCGGCAGTGGCCCGGCCACGGGCCCACCTCATGGCGCCTATTGATGCTTCCTTCCGAGCGCCGCGCCGCCGCGCCGCCGCCGGACCCACGTTATGGCACGGGGCGTAACAGCGAGCCCCATTTGGGGTCCTCACTACTGACTGGGGCACCACCGGCTCGCGGGGTCCGGTGTAGTCCGGCGGGCGAAAAAGGTCAGCGCGATTTTTAAAATCCTGTGTATACAGTGCGTAAAATGTATACCGAAAACAAAGCTCAAGCTCATGCGACATGTTTCCCAAATTTCTCGATATTACACGAAACCTTTTCGCCACCAATCTCACTTGATTGTCTCTGGCCGGGGAGGACGTTTTGCCGCTGTCCCTTTCTCTGTTTGGGCGTGACGTGCCGCGCGAGGCGTTGCTCTAATTACCGCTCGGCACACCATGCGGCCCAGGTAATCATGTCGTTACCAATTAGGGCACCACGCTCCTCGGGAGCCAAGGTCGAAGAAAGGACCTACCGGACCCCGCCGCCTGGCGCCCCTCCGCCCCGGCGCCGCTCCGCTAATATCCCACGTGGGACGTGAATGCTTAATCAGCCGGCTCTCCGTATGGCTCTCCACGCTCTCCACGCTCTCCGCGTTTTCCGCCCTCTTCGCCCTGCTCTCCGCCCGGCTCTATCCGCCCGGCTCTGCGTGTGCCGGAGCGGCGTGTGCATGTCGTTGACGGCCAGACCATTCCTTCAGAGGAGCTCCGCAAAGTTTGCTCGGCTCGACGCGCGAAATGTTATAATCTTCTCTGAGCTTTGTGAAGTCTAATTTGCGATTGCGAGCGCTCCCTGCTGCTCGCTGACGTGTCCAAGTAGATCGGTCGGGTTCCTCCTGTCGGCGTGACCCCACTCCCCCCGTCTGCAGGCGGGCCCCTACGTCGTCTCTTTCCTAGGCGCCCGTCACGGTTCCGACTCAAATCGCGTAATTACAGGTTCATTTCTGCGGATGACCAAGACCCCTTGCGCTGCTCACGTCCGTGCTCCCCCCGTAGACTTTGACTTTACAAGACTGCGTCAAAATTCAAAAACACGTTTTTGTACTACTTACTTGTGGATCAGCCATAGCTATGAGTTGTCAGACGCTGTGATACGGTGTTGCATTATCTATTTTACGTAAAACGAGACGCGAGATGTCTCCGAATGAGTGAGGAGAAATTATAGGCCTCGAAGGCACGTCTCATGGCATGAGATTCTCAAGCTGTGTGCTCCAGCACAGTGATTGGCGTGGGATGAAGTTACAGCTAATCCATGAGATCATCCCGGCGCAACTCTTTGTTGTAAGAGCCAAACACTGTTAGCGCATGGGCACGCGGGGCTGGCCCTGACACTCTGAACGTAATGAATTCATAAGATCCTCCCGAGCGCCCCCCTCCCCCTCTTTCCTTTCCCCCTGGCCCACATGTGCTAGTGCTACATGCTCCACTCCCCGCGCCGTTCAGCGGGGCTCTGCTCGGCCGCAGTCGACCGCAACCACATCGCTCAGTCATGCGATAATTTTCGACTTCCGATTCGTGACATAATACACGAAAAAGGCGATGTGATAATCCATCTGTCGAGTACGAATATTTGTTAAGTCCACACTAAATAGTAATAAATATCAACAGGTTTTTTTCCACAAGCATTTAACTTTGCGATGATAGGTGGCCTATGTCACTTATGAGCGTTATGGGAGTACGGACGTGAGAGAGAGAGAGTGTGACGTGTGTAGTGCTCGGCTTCCACTGCGTTCTTACAAAACGCCCGAGGCGCGACGACTGCGGTCCGTAACATGCCGCCCCCCTGCCGCGCCGTGCCGCGGGAGGTCGCAGGGGTCAGATGCCCGCTCCGCTGATACACCCCGACATTCGGAAACGACCGTACCTAAACGGACATCCATTGCCGGCTGGCGCAGCTAGCAATATAGTAGTGTGGGAGCTGGATTAGGCAACAGCTCGCGGGTCGTGTTCCACCCGCCTCCCTAAAAGCGGGGCGCATTTTTCGAATCGGACTCGGTTGATTAAAACCTGGCACGGCGGAGGAGGTACGGGGAGAGTCAGTAGTTAAGAAATCAGGGGAATAACGCACGACGAAAATCGTAAAACTGGTGAGTCAGCGTTATCAAAACCCTACCGCGGGCCCAGCCCACATCCCAGCCTTAACCACCCCGCCCCGCCTCAACCCACCTCACCCCGTAAAACCACGGGGAACCGCAGCGCGCCGATAGGTGTGTCCCCCTGCGGAGGGCGTTGGTGCCGCCGAAATACACACACGCACTCACACACACTCGGGTTGGTTGGACTGGGCGGGCGGCGGGCTAGCCTCGCAGGGGGGCCTTACACAACGGAAACGTATGGGGTCGGAGCGATGTTACGTTCCACATCGGACTGAACCCTTGGCCCGGTCCAGCCCGCTGCGTCGTGTGTGTGTGTATGTGTGTGCAGTTGACTGATGAATGAAGGCACAGCTGTCGCCTTATAAACGCTTCATAAAAGCAGTTGGCTCCAGCGGCAGTATATGGGCCTCACCGGGACTATAAACAGACAAGCCTAGACGCTACACCGTCGTCCGGAGAACCCCCTAGAGAAAAACTGGATGATTATCTCCATGAGAAGTTCGAGTTAGTACTTACTGTACCTGCCCGTGTATACTCTGTGTGCAGTCAGAATGCCTCAAGCCTCCATGAAACAGAGGCACTGCGGCTAGGCCAGTCAGTCAGTGTACACGTTGAAAAAAAATCTAAGATTTACCATCGATGTTGTAAATTTACTGTGAGTAACGTAAATTTACGACGTGCCATTTTGGGTGGTCCAAGAACTCAAACTCGGTGTGTAGTCGTGTAGTGTCAAAAGAATTTTCCAATTTTACAGTTTGTCATCGCAACTTTACATCATCTCTCCTATAGATGTAATTCTCCTTTAAAAATCTTCAAATATTTTTCACAGTGTATACTGGCCCATCGCTGTCCATACCTTGGCAGCGGCCGAGTTCAGCAGTAGTATCGAGGCTTGCCGAAGAGCGGTGGCACCTGTATCTTTGATCACGCCGTGACCGATTCCGTTTCCGTTTCCCCCGTGTACTTTTTTTCTATTTCGTTTTACATTTTGCGGCGCTCCACTCGCGTCCCCGCTCACGTATCTCTTGTTATTGATTAGTCATTCACTTTACTTTCGCTGGCCGCGCTGACCCGAGTCACGAGACACCCCCCACCTCTCTCCTCTCCCCCCGGCCCCGGGGGAACTCCATGCGGTGCCACGCGCGCGACGTGCGATTGTTTTCGTGCGGTGATTTTTTTTTTGCCCCCACCCCCCTCCCCACTTTTCCTCCCCGAGGAATAATCTGTTCCTGTTAGCGATGCTGGTCGCAGGGCGGCGCAAACATGAGGGATGCGAACGCGCGGAGCTGTTCTCAGAACTGGAAAAACAACGAACGTTCTGTGGTCCTAGTGGTTTCCAAGCAGCTAAAGTATCTCTGTAGTGCATAGGAACGACGCTTTGTTGGTTTTTCGAAAACTGCTTGAAAATTATTTCGGACGTCGTGTTTGCCGTGAGCGGGACTTTGTAGCTCGAGTTGCCTACTTGTTCGGCCTGCTGCCTGGTGGTTGGTGGTGCAGGCTCGCGGCCCCGCGCCCCGCCAGGTCGTTGTGCGCACGCTCTGCCGAGCGCTCTGCGCGTGCAGATTGCTGCTAATTGCGCCAAGCCTTCCCTCCTCCCCCCTTTTCCCTTAACCCCTAGCAAACAGCCCGATGAGATTAATGGCCAAATTTGGACAGAGAGTCGGTCGGCCGCGGGGTCAATGGCTGCACGGAGAACGGCGGGGGGTGGCGTGGCGTGGCGGAGCGCGGCGGCACTACTCCAGCGGTGTGTGCGAGCCAAATTCGCCGCGAAACGGAAAACGTTACACGCTTTTCTCTCTGTTTTCCGAGTTGAAAAACGAAACAACTTTGTCTCTCTCGCCGTCATGTCGGTCGCTGGTGCAACGGCGAGGATTCCCCACCCGGAGAGCGTCAGCTCGTGACAAAAACAAAAGGGAGGCCTGAAGGTGCGCGGCTGCTGCCGCTGCTGCTGCATTTCTTTGTGCAACTTGTATTGCCACTTGTTCGCAGCGGCGCTGGTGGCAATACAAGTCGCCAGACCGCATGCAATCCTCAGGTCAGAGGCGTGCTGATTACCCCCACCGCTCGGGGTTAATCAGCTGATGCCCTCCACCCACCAAGAAGGCAAAGTGAGGCGAGAGCAGCCCGACTCTGTTTGCCCGCGTTTATGGCGAACCGCGCGGTCGCGTGCCGGCCGTGCCGTGGGGCGGGGTGTGGTGGTGGGATGGGGCGGGGCGGGGCGTTCTGGTCAAGAAGGGCTAACGCCAAGACGTTACGTTTGGCTCTTCAAGAGGGTCTCTCTCTCTCTCTTTCTCTCTCTCCCCCACCCTCTCTCTCCGTTTTTGCGCATCGTCTTTTTTGCAGCCTTGGCCGCCACCCTTTCTGTGTGGTAATGAGACTCGTCTATCGGACTACGCTACACTGTGGGTGGAAAGGCCTAATAAG